GCAAGTGGTACCGAGGTTTCCCTGAGCAAGGCACCGTTCCCTACACTGCTCCCCGGGCGCTGTTCAAAATGGCAGCACACTGCTCCTAACACTAGAATGGGTCAAATGCAGATAAACAATTTCTCCACGGGGATTAATAAAGTATATCAAAATCAAAAAAAAAACATCACCATGAAATCCTGTATGATAAAGTGGTCATGTCGTCATTCCCTCCACTCGCCCCCGTGTGCTGCCTCGCTCCATCTCCCTCCCAGTAGTTTTAATGACTTCCTGTGTTTGCTTCGCTTTGTATGTGTTCAACTCTGAAGAACATTCTGAAACTGAAATGTTGTTGATAACTTTTAGATATAGGAGTAATTCTGGCCATTCAAATGAGTCAGAAAAAAAGAGAGAAAAGAACGAAACGGACTTTTTCTCCCAAACTCTGATTGACTTCCAGCGTCTCCGGTGTGTGTCCACTAAGCCTGCGATAACTGCACTTTCAGAGGCATAAATATGTATTCATTTCCCCAGCAGCCTGCTGGACTGTGACCGCTGCATGAATTAGAGGATAAGTGGGGATGCAGTGGCAGATGAGATGCATTCATTTCCATGTGAAGTTTGATTCTGATGCAGCGGCACACTCCCAAGCAACACTGTTTTCCATCACAGCAAATGAGAATTTGAAATGAAAACACAAGCGGCTGCTTGTGTTTTCATTCCGTACAAATGGAACAGCAATTGGCAGACAGCAGTGTGGTCCCACATATTGTGTGAGCATACACTTCACCTCATTTCTGTCACAATTGATTTGCTGCTATTTTTAAGAGAGTTAGTTTCCCCCCCTTTAATATTATCATTATCATCTTGCAATCTAAATAAAATACTGGAGAGCATAAGACATGTCCCCAATGACTTGTGATTATGGCAAACATTATTTCTGTATTTGGAAATGACAGTTGAAATAGGATTTGTGATTTATTGAACTTTAACAGCAGTCCTCAGAAGGGATGGAAATAAATATAGTGGGGAGGGGGATTGTTCATCTTTACTATTGGACATTTGGGAATGCTTATTTTAAGTTTTGGTTCCATTCGTTTTTAATATTGTTTAAGACTTTTTATATATTTTGCATGTGCTGCAGTTGAAAAATAAGTTATGTTTTACGTTGCTATTTATAGCTAATGGTCATTTACAAAAAATAATATGTATGTATGTAAGGTGTGTTTAGGAGAGAAACTCCCTCTGGAGGGAACACAGGGATTTTAGCCTTTGCAGACCATTTACATGCACATAAACCTATAGCACACTAGAGTAGAGGAAAGGAAAAGAGCATAATAGGGCCTCTTTAACATTATTTATGATCCAAACTGAAAAGGACGATTTAATAAAGTTAGACTAAAGCACTTTTTGGTGCACCGGTCAATCCCAAAATAAAATACAGAGTTAAATCCCAAATCAAATTTACTTTAAATGGTATTGTACATGTGGTGATTTTAATCATATTAAATGTATGTTAACCTGTTAAACCCTGAGCCTGTTTTTCAGGTCTCAGGCTCGAAAATGACATTTCCAGAACAAATGACCATATCTTCCCTTCTAAAAGGGTTACATTTTTTCTCAAAGTAATGATAAACCTGTGAGTTGTATGTAGAAAAGTCAGAATCAAAATAGATCTTTTTTTATTTTAAAGAAAATTCAGATTGAACATAGTAAAAAACTGTAAATTATAGTGTCCTTCCAAAAATTATTTTTTACTTATAGTGAAAACTACCCTTGGATGATGGTAAGGTAGACTAAAAGCTTTAGGAATCCAAAGTACAACATATAATAAGTACCCTGAATCAAGATTGATGCAAAACAAGTGACATTTGACCTTTTTAGACAGATTTAGCACAAAATGTGGGTGGATTTTCCATATCTCTGGCCCCCCTTGGTCGATTTTGACGAATTAAATCTCTTTATAACCGCTAGAGCCAATGGAATCGAAGGGGAATTTCCCCACACACACACATGCTAAAACAAAAAGGTGGGGGCTTTGCTCACGCAGTTTTGCATCAGAGTATGTACCCATTGATTCTGTGTCATCTCACGATATGAATCGATGTGTTGGATGTGCAGAAATTCGTTGCTAATTCAGAGGCTCAGCGTTAGCATTGTGGTTTTAAAAAAAAATAAAAATAGAAACGATCAGTTAGATGAGTTTCTTCCCGTTACATGGATATAACCCATTCATAGTTTATTAAATGAACATGCCCTCAGACACTGTTTCCTGCAAGATGTTGCGGGAGGGCCCCGGTACCGGGGTCTCTCGGGCTTAACAGGTTAACTTGTTTCTTGTCTTGTCCATGTGTCAGGCTTGTGGAGTGGATCTATTCCAGGAAAGAAAGAGTTCCTTGCAATAACACAACATGCCACTGACACCTCCACTAACATTTCCTCGCCCTCCCTGTGGAGCATGTCTGGCTGTATTTCCCGTACTCACTCAGCAGTATGATGGCGCACAGGAGGATGGCGATGAGTGCTCCGGTGCTGAGGCCCGGGGAGCTGCTCAGGGCCTCGGCGTTACACAGCTCCATGTTGCCTTCACGGTCGCAGGTGCACACCCTCACCGTGAGGGTGCCGGTGCTGCTCTGCATGGGGTAGTCGCCGTCGGTGATCACCACGGGGACCAGGTAGACACTCTGGTGGAGGCGGCTGTAGCTGGCTCTACGTGTCAGCATGCCAGCAGTGTTGTCTGAGCAGGAGAGAGAGAAATGATTGGAGCACACATGCAGTTTACAGCAGCCAGCCAATACAAAAACAGATGGTAACAAATCCAACAATGCAGAAGTCCCTGATTATATCTTAGTGAGGAGAAAAAACATGTGGATGCATCTGTTCACAATTCCAAAGAAACTAACAAGCAGGGCTGGTTCAGAGAAACAATATGTATAAATACAATGCGCCACAGGATGCTCTGATGTTTTATTTTCCTTCTTTTTCCTAATGTTGTCCGAGTAAAATTAAGTTTTACAATATCAAATCTCTGTTGATTATGTTGCTTGATAACAATATTGAGTTAAAGAGTGCAAATAAGACGGCCAATTAAGAGCGAAATATAATAGAGCAAAATTAGAGCACTTAATTAAGAGTTTAAATGAACAACAACATTAAGAGAATAAATTCAAAGCGAAAAAACTAAGAGCATAAGTAAGTGTTTTTTATTTTGTAATTTTTAGAGTTTTTCCAAGGTTAATAAAAAACGTACTTGTGACTTAAGTCCTGTGGCTGCTTATTATTTTTGATTGTTTGTTGTCGGTCCTGCTCCATAGTGGAACGTTTGGAACCCTTTACAGTCACTTTCAAATGTTATTGTCATTTAAAGGTGACATGTCATGCTTTTCCGGTTATTACCCGTCCCCTTTTGTGTTATGAAGGTTTTTCTGCATGTAAACGGNTTGTATCTGGCGGAGGTGGCGAAGTCGATAGGGACTTGGCTTGGCAACTGGAAGGTCACCAGTTCAAGTCCCGGCAAGACCAAGTGCTACTGAGATGTCGGACATCTCAGTAGCACTTGGTCTTGCCGGGACTTGAACTGGTGACCTTCCAGTTGCCAAGCCAAGTCCCTATCGACTTCGCCACCTCCGCCAGATACAAATATTTCATACAGGAGATAAGCTCAATACACACACTCTGGAAGTCAGCCGGCTCCTCAGGGAGTCACAAGATGACATTTAAAAATGTAAATGAATAATGTGACACACCTTAAATATTAAGAACAACCTCCAGTTAGCAGATCTATTTTCTGTTATTCAGGAGAGAGAACTAAATTAGACGACTCAGCACTATATGATACAATATGATCATTTATGATACACTGCAACACAAAACGATACTTGGTGATGCAATACATCTCAGTGTAATAAATACCGTATGATGAGGTATTATACAGTTTGCTTGATACAAGACAACATGATATAATACTATTTCAAATGTGTAAAAAAAGTGTAATCAGTAAACTTATCTGAGTCTCAGAACAAAAAGTGATGTAACCTCATTTTACTTTCTTGTGGATTACATCGATATCAAATGCAATTCAAATAAATACAAGATAAATAGATACCATCAAGATTGTTTTACTTCAGTGTATTATGTAAGACAACGGAACAATGTGGCCTTATAAACACAGAAACCAAGATATTTAGGATCAAAGCAGATTGTATTGATTGTAAAAGCTGTCTTTCATTCAGCATATTCAGGCAGCAGCCTATACACCAACACTGAAACACATGTGCACATACTACAGTTCAAAACAGCAGAAATAAAATCAGAGCTGACTGAAGATGCTCCGTTTTAGTTTAATACACACAGTTAAGCTCACACACACTATTTTATGAACATATTGGTTCACCTGCTGAATTAACAGAACAAATGAAGCAAATAAAGCAGATTCAGGCAATAGGAGTTACCTAACCTTTTTTATATCCTGAATATGTAATCCTTTTACATTAAATCTTTATTTCTGTTTTGCATTCCATTTGATATTGATGTAATCCAAAGTAACGGAAAGTCATCAGTTTATATTACTTTTATATTGTGATACTCATTTTAGGTTACTGATTTAAAATGTTGCATTGGTAATTTAACAGCATACATTTTTTAAGTTGTCCTCCCAACCTTGTTGCACAAAAAATCCTACACCTTTTTAAACTACTTTGTTCATTTTTATGTGTGAACACTTATAAGAAAATGTGTGATAACGCATGTAAATGTCCCAAAAATGATAAGTGTATCTAGATGTAGAAAGAAGAGCAATTGATGAAGCCAGTCTCAGTGTCGTTCCTTAGAGAAATAACCTTGTGGAATTATATTTACCATGGTAATCAAAATACAGCCTTAAGCTTTAGTATTTTTAGCAGTGCTGATATGCATATGAATGTAATCATCATAACCTCAATCAGGATATCGTTTAGTTCTCGGTTTCTCATCTGTACACACTGTACATGTACTTTATCCCATACAGCTCTGTATTTCTATTTACAGTGGTTCTTTCAGTATGTGAAGTTCTCTCATCTCACGCTCTGTGCAGACACTTCCTGCTGTGCCTCTGTGTAGCATTATTGGATATTTCAGTTCCCTGACCTTAACTCCGCCTCTGCTCTTTCTTTCTGCCACTTTGCTCTGACTTGATTTAAATTCAAACTGGCCAGCATGAGCTTAGCCAATCAAATGTTCTGCATGATTATTTATGGCTGAGCCCTCTCTGAAATCAAAGGCTCCATCCTGTGCGCCTGTAGCTGGCCAGAGAAGCCCATCTGTACTCAGAAGACATTCCTCACCAAGTTAATTGCTTTGATTTAGGAATCTGGCAACATCTCCAAAAAAGGAAATTCAACACTAGCAGTCACACAACCACTGGCTGAAAACAAGAGAATGCTTAGTGACATTTTTACCCACGCAGTCTATTTCTGTTTGTTATATATATATTCGACAGGATGATATTTACAGGTTTGTTATGACCTGGCTCAAAAGGCCACAACAAAGAGGAGACACACCATATCAACGGTTTAACAAAAGATGTTTATTAAAGCAAGTAGTCCAAATTAGCCAAATTAATTAAGTGCAAAACCAAATGAAGCATGAGGTGTGGATGTCAGTGGTATCAGTAGTGTAAGTTAGTGATGGCAGTTTGACACTGAAGCTTCGAACGGAGCTTCAACCCTGGACTTCCAATTCCATAGAAGCAGTGCTTCGAAGCTTGCTTCAAATCACGTGACATGTGACGTCCGAAGCAGCAACTGCTTCAAATCACGTGACATGTGACGTCCGAACCAGCAACTGCTTCATTTCCTGAATTAATCAACTCACTGGTTCGCCGTCCAATCAGGTGATTCAATGCACTGCCTCGTCTCGATTCTGACTGGTTGAAACTGTTTGAATTTGAGCGTAACTTAGTAAGTGACACTTTCTAACCGCTCAAAAAAATGCACAATTTGGCAATCTGTGGGATTGTCGTCGTAGTTTGCCTTGTTGCTGTTGAGTTGTTAGTATTGCGTTTGGATCATTATGGAGCCAGCCAGGAAGAGAGGTTGTTCTGAGATGTGGGATCACTTCAATCTG